TGGGCCCGCGCGGCTCTCCTGGAGGGCCAGCAGGAGCAGCTTCTAGAACGGAGGCTGTGGATCTTCAGGCCTCGGCCCCTTGGTCTCTGCACGCCCCACCCCATGGGGCTTTCCCAGGACTCGCCCCGCCCCGCCCTGCCCCGCGCTCAGGATGGACGAAGAGAGGACGCCAGCCCTGCTCCCACCGTCCACGCAGTTTCCAATCGAGGCAGAAGGCAGCTCCGGTCCGAGGCACGGACTTCAACCCTCCCCGCGGGGAGCCTGCCCTCCGGTCGGTCATCGATGGACGAAGAGGCCACTTGTCAAGGCCAGGCCTGTCCACCCACTGGTGTGCGAGGGAGGCAGGGGCGGGCGAGAGCCTGCTGAGTGCCCTGCCCCCGCCTGCCCGCCTGGCTCAGCAGCAGCCACTGACGCGCCCAGAGGGTCAAACAGGGCACCCTCCCCGGCTCCTCGGGACACGACAGCCGCTTGGTTGGAACGTCCTAGCATGTGACGCCTCAAGGACGGACGGACGGACGGAGAGGGAGCTGGCGTCTGAATTCCCAGGGCCGAGCCCTCCCCGCAACACAGTGCACAGGCTGGAATGCCCAGAGCAGGGCTCTGAAGGGTGAACAGGAGTGTGCTGGGCGGGGGGGGTGAGCCGGCACCTCCTCAGAAGATTCCAGGGCATAAAGGGGGGGCTCAGGGAAAGGCAAGATCCAGTGCCCAGAAGAAGGGCGCAGGCACCAAGTGGGGCGCTGAGCAGTGGCCACGGGCAAGGCCCAGGTCAGGGTCCCCAGCTCCCAGCGCGGGCCTTTCACCCCATCAGCACCCGGAGGCGGCCCCCCGTCTCAGCTGCCCTGGTGCCATGCTTTGGGAGGCCTCCTGAACATCATTCGGGGAACCCCACACCCAGGCTGGGGCCAGGGGTCCAGTACAGTGTCCCCGCCCCACCCAGGGCAAGCCCCGCCCCGACCTCCAAGCCTGACTCCGACTGATGGGTTTCCTAGGTGAGCTCCGCGGGCAGGTGTCCTGAACGAAGGCAGCTGGCAGGGGCTGGGCGCAGCGCAGCCGCACACATGCACGCGCACACACACGCATGTACACACATGTGCGCGCGCGCACACACGGTAAGAGGACAAAACTTATGTCCCAAGCGTCTGCCCGCTCAGGCCCCGTCTGTGGACGGAGTCAGGTGACTGAGCGCGGGCTGGACACACAACTCAGAGGCCGTGCGCGCCCTGAAACGCCTGGGCGGGGCCGGGCCGGGCAGAACAGAAGGCCTCCTGTCTGCCCCCCCGACCCTCGTGGGGAGCCGGACACTGAGGCTCGTCTGACTTGCCAGGGATCCTGGACCCAGGGACTCTGATTCCGCAGACCCCGGAGCTGGGCGGGGCCTTCCAGTGCCCGTCTGTGTGCCAGGTGCGCAGGGGCTGGCGCTGCCCCAGGCCTGAGGCTGGGCTGCTCGGGGCTCCAGAGGTCGGGGTGCCCTCCCTCTGAGCTGGGGGGGGGGCGCACCTCCCAGGTCCACTGATCGCACCGAGCGAGACCCTGAATGTTAGTGTCACGAGCCCTAACCTGCAGTGGGCAGGCCTGGAGGCACTGCGCCCGGGGCATGGCTCTCGGAGCTCCCCTGGCT